TAATACTTTAAAGTTTTAAAAGATTCAAATTAAAATAAAATAATATGTGGATGAAGTAAAAAAAAGTTGTTATTCGTTACTCTCTTTTTTTGGAGGGACTAAATCTTTAATTTTTACACATTTTTTAGTCCTCCAAAAATTTTGTTGTTACTTTTATTTCTAACTCTGTAAAATAATATGAAAAATAATATTCTACTATTATATAAGAGGGAGTTTATGATGGGACATTCTATGTGTCTCATCATAAACTCCCTATATAATATATAATATAATAAATCATTTTTTTTACTATATAATATATATTTATTTTTCTACTATATAATAAAAGGCAATTTATATAATATATAATATAATATATACATAAACTCCCTTTTATTATATAGTAGAAATATATATATATATATATATATATATATATATATATAAATATATAATATAATATAATATATAATAATATAATATAATAAATCATTTACAAATGACTTAAAATATTTAATATTTAAAAGATATATAATAAAATAGGTTGACTCTCAAAATTCTACCCGGGTCACATATATTGGGATAGAAAAAATAACATATATCATTTTAAAATTACCAAAAAAGTATTATAAATAATAATAATTAACAACTTAAAATATCGGAAAGACATTTTAAAAGGGTTAATTTTGTAATTTTATCCATATCACATAAATTAGGACAAAGTGACCAGCAATATAGGTTATTTGAAAGTTACATAAAAATATTATAAATCACGATAATTAATAACTTAAAACATTTTTTTTTTAAATGCAAATTTGGATGACTCTTCAAATTCCATTTGTGTCACATAAATTGAGACAACAAAAATAACATATATTGCGTCCATTTTAATTTATTTGTCTTAAATTTTTTTTATATTTAAAAATTGCGTAAAAATGCTATAAATCATGATAATTGACAACATAAAATATGTTTTCAAAAAGATACAAAAAATTGCACTGATTCTTGAAGTTAATCTATCGTAAAAATACTATAAATCATGATAATTGACAACATAAAATATTTCAAAAAAAAATACATATAAAAACTTCGATTGATTCTTGAAATTAATCTATCATTAAAATTTATGTATAAAATACAATAAATCGTGATAATTGACAACTTAAAATATATATTAAAAAAACACAAAAAAAGAAATTGACTGATTCTTAAAATTAATCTATCAATGTCACATAAAATGAGAGAAAAGTAGTAATATGTATTATTTAATGTGAAATTATTGAAAACTACGTAAAATGTATTGTAAATCTTAACAATTAACAACATTTGATTAACTCTTAAATTTTATCTATGTTACATACATTGAGACAAGCGGAGTAATATATATTAAGTATTTACAAATTATGTCAAAATATTATAAATTACATTATTAACAACTTAAAATATTTAAAAATCATATTAAATTTAAATAACTCACTATATTTTATCTGTGTCACATACATTAGGACAAAAAATGATAGTTATTGGGCCCGTGCGTAAGGGAGTTTATGCCCAAATATAATATATAATATGCAATGACTCTCCAAATTTCATTTTTGTCACATATATTGAGACAACAAAAATAACATATATTGGGTCCATTTTAATTTATTTGTCTTATTTTTTTAGTTTTTTTTTATATTTAAAAATTGCGTAAAAATACTATAAATCATGATAATTGACAACATAAAATATGTTTTGAAAAAGATACAAAAAATTGCACTAATTCTTGAAGTTTATCTATCGTAAAAATACTATAAATCATGATAATTGACAACATAAATTTTTTCAAAAATAAATACATATAAAAAAATTCGATTGATTCTTGAAATTAATCTATCGTTAAAAATTATGTATAAAATACAATAAATCGTGATAATTGACAACTTAAATAATTTATTATAAAAACAGAAAAAATAAATTGACTGATTCTTAAAATTAATCTATCAATGTCACATAAAATGAGACAAAAGTAGTAATATGTATTGTTTAATGTGAAATTATTGAAAACTACGTAAAATGTATTATAAATCTTAACAATTAACAACATTTGATTGACTCTTGAAATTTTATCTATGCTACATACATTGAGACTAGCAGAGTAATATATATTAAGTATTTAAAAATTATGTACAACCATATTGCTTTCTGTAGGCTTCGAATTATCGTGGTCATTTTTTAGGCTGATACAAGTTTTGTACCTTTTTTTTTAATATTATAAATCGCAATAATTAATAATTTAAAATATTTTTAAAAATATATTAAAAATTTAGTTGGTTTCGGGAATTTTATTTATGCTATATAAAATGGGACAAAGGAAGCAACATATATCATTTACAAATGACTTAAAAAGCATTAAAAATTACAATAATTACCAATTTAAAATATTTAAAAGCTATATAATAAAATAGGTTCACTCTCAGAATTCTATCAGACTCACATATATTGGGACAGAAAAAATAACACATATCATTTTAAAATTACCAAAAAAGTATTATAAATAATAATAATTAACAACTTAAAATATCTGAAAGACATTTTAAAAGGGTTAATTTTGTAATTTTATCCATATCACATAAATTATGACAAAGTGACCAGTAATGTTGGTTATTTGAAAGTTACATCAAAATATTATAAATCACAATAATTAATAACTTCAAACATTTTTTAAAAAAAATTAAAATTTGGATGACTCTCCAAATTTTATTTGTGTGACATAAATTGAGACAACAAAAATAACATATATTGGGTCCATTTTAATTTATTTGTCTTATTTTTTTTTGGGTTTTTTATATTTAAAAAATGTTTAAAAATACTATAAATCATGATAATTGACAACATAAAATATGTTTTGAAAAAAATACAAAAAATTCCACTCATTCTTTAAGTGAATCTATCGTAAAAATATTATAAATCATGATAATTGACAACATAAAATATTTCAAAAATGTTGTATGTGGATAGTCTTATTGTACCTTGATCCACACAAACAATTGCTTCAAAAACTCCGTTATTAGCCCCAAAACATACCATTTATATTATTGGGCCGTGCATAGCACGGGCAACATTATCTAGTATACAATATAAAGTATAGATAATAATCTAAAAACATAAATAAAAGAAAAAAAGTATTATAAATAAAAATAAAAATAAAAATAAAATTCTTGAATGAAAATTAACCAAACTTATGAAATATATTAATTAATTAATAAGAGATACATTGATAAATATGTATATATGTAAGTAATATTTTAGTCTTAAAAAAGGCCAAACACTGCAGACCCTTAAACTTGTCTCTAAATTTCATTTTGGCACTCCAACTCAACCTTGTTTCATTTTAACCCTTTAACTCTATTTTTTATGTTTCATTTTGGCACTTCTAAGTGATGTGGCAGAGTGTGTGCATCACACTTTCTCTAAGAGAGTGAAAGATTAAAAAAAAAGTATTTTTTAAAAAAATAATAAAAGATTAATCCTTGAACTCTATTTTTTTTTATGTACCATTTAAACACAAAATATTATTTTTATGATTTCTTTATTTCTATATATGCTCTTCAACTGCAATTTTGCATTTTAGAAATCTCCGTTCATTCGTTAGTTATTGTGAAAAATTCAAATTGACGGATGATCATTGATTTTTTTTTAAAAAAAAGTAACAATGTTTCATTTTAAAAATCAACGTCATATCTAATCTATTTGGACTTAACTCAAATACCAGCTTTCTAATTTTTCATTCAACTAAATACGAGTACAAAAAAAAACTCATGTTCATTACTAATTAATAACACTATAAAAAATGTTGAAACTCGATAGACTTCGTTGGGTTGTCATTGATTTTTCTTAAGAAAGAAAATCGACTCACTTTCGTCGCTTATTTTTCACGCAAAAATACAGGGAAACTTTCAAAAAGAAATTGTTACTTTTTTTATAAAAAAATCAATGATCATCCGTCAATTTGAATTTTTTACAATAACTAACGGATGAACGGCGATTTTTAAAATGCAAAATTGCAGTGGAAGAGCATATATAAAAATAAAGAAATCATAAAAATAATATTTTGTGTTTAAATGGTACATAAATAAAATAGAGTTGAATGGTTAATCTTTTATTATTTTTTTTGTTTTTTTCACTCTCTCAGAGAAAGTGTGATGCACACACTTTGCCACATCACTTAGAAGTGCCAAAATGAAACATAAAAATTGGAGTTAAAGGGTTAAAATGGAACAAGGTTGAGTTGGAGTGTCAAAATGAAATTTCTCTTAAAAAAATATTGTTCTGCTTATGCTTTTGTTTTTAAAAAAAAACATAAATTGTTAACTTCTTTCCAACAGCAGAAAAATTGTTTTTGCTTCCTTTTAAAAGCAGTTTTAAGGATTTGTCAGACACTCAATTCCTCAAAAAAAGTATTTTTTTTCTAATAAAACAAATAAAAAATTTGGCCTCCAACAGGCAACAGCCATGCCAAACATGCTCTAAATGGGACGCTCTTTACAAAATTTGGCCACTTATTTGGCCCTAATTTTCTTACCATATTTGAGTTTTAATTTTACATTGCAATCTTTTATATCATGACTAGTATTAAAATTCCGTTTTATCTTTTTTATTTTTATTTCTTTCCTATAAGAATTAATATATTGACAAAAGTACCCTTTAAATGTTAAACTCACGCAAGAGTCATCAACATTTAACACCTGAATTTTTTTCCAAGAAAATTACTTTTTCTCCGTTTGCTTCCCTACCAAAATTCTTAAAGCATTATTTTCTTCTTCAATTTCCTTTGGTTGAAGTTTCTTAAAGCACTGCTCATCAAGTAAATACAAATCATTTCTACCTCTATTATTGTATGGGTCAAAATCCGATTTTGACGTCCCAACGTATTAAAAGGTGACATGTGACATTCAGAGTTTAGCACGCCTTGAATCGTACCCCAGGAGATCCAAAAGAATACTTTAATTTATTTCGAAATCGGGTAAAATCAAATCATGTCTTCCTTCTACAAACTGAGCAGTATAAACAATATTATACGTATGATTTTGTTATGTGCATGCCATGCTCTGTAGTCATCAATTTACAGTATGCAGTATTTTTGCTGGTGAATGGGCTTAGAAAAAAAGCCAATGCTTCTTTCTGGGAACTCTAACTGGAGCTTCTGAAAGTAACAAGTAAATGTGTTGTCAGTATGGCTGACCCAAATTTCTCAACTACTGCGCAACAGCAAAAACAATAATGCACTTACCTCCAATTTCGTATAACGAATTGTAGTGAACTTCACTCCAGAAACTCAGCCACAGTTCTGAAAATCGACAACAACAAGTCAAAAGTGTTGTACCTTCAGGAGATTAAACATGTTGACGGCCTATACAAATTGATAAATTTCTAGATCAAGACAACATTGTTCATCAGCACAACACGATACATCTACTATCTAGTGATTTGGAATTTATTTACTTATCAAGACAAGGTTACTTTGTTGATGACAGTGGTATCCAAGCTAGCTTGAGCGCACCTTGACTAATTTCTTGGGGTACCTGCTACCTCCCACTAGCATAGATATAAGTAACTCTATCCACCGAAAAATTCACCTTACGAATTTCAAAAATAAAAAATAAAAACTCACCTAATGTTTTTGTCTTCACTATCTCTGAACCACTAGACCACACTGTTGGGTGTCAGACAAGGTTAATCTTATCAGGTTTAACTTAGTCTTTCCTAAGATAACTGTGAACCTATGTGTTTGTCTATACAAATAGAGTCGGTAGGACTTAATTAAAAAAAATGATTCAATATCTTGGGGAAACAATTCAGCATATCATCAAAACGAAAACAATAAAACAGGAGCGACCCACTGATGTTACTTTTTTCCGCATAGGATCAAGTTTACAGTTCGTAACAAATAAAGCTTAACCAGTGCTTGCATTATCAAATTGTGTCTCATGTGATCCTCGACTTCTGGAAGTTGCTCTAATTTAGTACTTAACAGTTACTTAGTAACATTTCAATTTGGGATGATACTTGTCCCAAGTAAAAACAGCAAGTACTATTTTATTTAAATTGTGGATTTGATATCACAACTCATGATCTTAGTATTGTTTAGTAATTTTCAGGTCTCTTTTTTGTATTTTTGAGTTTTAATAATTTAAGCAGGAAATTTAAGAATTAATGAAATAATTGTCACAAGTATTGATTGGACCATGATCATTAGGTAACAGAAAGGATGTACATACCCCTAGAAGGTTGTATGTCCTTGGGAAGGATATCAATGTAGCCATTGTCCCGGAAAGAGGTCACCAAACATATTTTCACCCCAAACTGCAAATAAAATCCAAGAAATTACATAGAATTAGAAGACAGCAACATCAATCACCTAACAACAGGAAGAAAAGAAAAGAAATGCAGATAAAAACGTATGGATGAAAGGCTTATTAACTTGCTTTCATGCTTTTAAGTTGCTTTCATGTCTGATGCTATATTGAACTTCAATCGGTAACAGTGGATCTAATTTATTTGAATTCTTCCCCTTCACCAGTAAGAAAAAAGAGGCAGAAGATATTATTTCTTTAAACAGTTTCTCTTCTTTATACTTTTCGCTAAATATTAACAAGTACTAAATCTCATCTTCTTTAGTTTCAGTGACACAATAACACAATAAATGAGCCAGAATTGCTGGTTTTGTACTCATTTTCTGATTTCCATAAAATTGCTGTTGCCTTTTGGAACAAATATGGCTTTACTTCTTGAAGTTAATAAAACACAAGGGGATCCCAATCCAAACTCACTTTGTGATACAGATTATCTTTCAAAGACCTATTTGATGTCTTAAACAATTGTATGCCTTCTAAAGTCTAATGTAAATTGACAAGATGTGACAGGCCAAATTTAACTCTTCCCCACTTCTGCTCTAAAACCTACACTTGCTTTTCAGTAACATACATGCAGCACAGGTATACCACATAAAAAGAAGATCAGGTTAAACAAATGAGATGGTGCCCGTGTTGCAAGGAAGTGAGAGGTACTACTAGAAACGTTCATGTTGAGATGATCAGGTTATTTGCTGTGACAGTTTCGGTCAAGAATAAAACTCCACAACTCATAGTCAAAGAGTTCTAAGTAGGACCTTCTTAATTCACTAGTTTTTTCTCTTAACAAAAAGAACTTTCATGAAAGCCAAATGGTAAAGGTTAACAGTTCAACCATGGTGAAGCTTTCAGAATTGGTCTACACTCATAACTTTTGATGCTACCATATTATATACCAACACCAACGTAAATTTCACTTCCTAAAATCTTTTAACTTTTCCACAGGAAACTTTTCCACTATGTATATTATGCACGGATAGGATGCTACTAACAAGGTTACTTCATTGCTTTTTTCTTATTTAACAAACTCAGATTTTCAATGCATCAATTTTTCTGTCCAGGGCTCCAGGCAATACTTCTTTACTGACAGTATAATTTGTTGGCTTTATCTTGTATGCAATGTTCCAAATCACAATGTGTCATAATATTGCATAAGTACATCCTCATTTTTCTTCTGTGCTACCTCAACAGTGCCATTGAATCTTAGTTCAAATGCTGTATTACATACTCATAAGGATACCATATATATGCCTCCAATGCCTGTTAAGACACAAAAGAGAAACTTTCAACTTACTCTATCAGCAGCTGCTTGTAGAGTGACATGATCTCCCCATTCTCCCAACCTGGTTAGAATGAGAATATGTTGGTTATATTGAGATTTCTTGCTATAAGCACAGAAAATTGACCAGACAGCTTACCTCTTCATCTTCTTCAAGTACCTTTTGTATTTCATGGGTACATAACCTTCATATAACTTTCTAAACTGCTTTAGCTGAAATGAATTGACAACTAGGATAAGAAACATGTAGGGCAAAACTAGATATAGATATAGCGTCAAACTCAAGCAAGTAGAGGATTGTATTAATGTTACTAGATCCAGAAATTAGGTCAAGCAATTGAGCTGATGAGTCTCAGATAAAAACCGAGAAAATGTTTCTTTGTTATTATGCACAAGTCACCCGGAGGAGCAAAATGAAAGTTTGACCAGAAATGTCACACTCTGAATCTATGATATTACAATAGTTGTTCTTAGCCTACTCTTTTCCCAAAAGAATAAAAAGGTCAATCCTTTTTCTTGGCCTACTTTAGTTAACAGTCTGTAAGTCCTCAGGCAAATTATCCAATCGATAGTTGTTTGGATTTAATAGTACCAGGTACAGAATGTGGCAATCTTAGGTGCACACAATCCTCAAACATAAGCATTATGTAATTTTCAACTCTTCACATATCCTGTTTCCCAATGATGAGAAGAAAATATTAGAAACATGCAACTATACCTGTTTAACAACCTCCTTCCTTACATGCTTATGATACTCTGGATTATGATACAACTGATCTGAAAGGGCTCGAAACTACAATAAGCAAGTAGACAGTCACAAACCAGGTTCAAATTGCCTGTAAATTAATAAGTAGCATGCAGGTCTGAAGTGCAACGAAAGCTTGTCGACCAGTCAAAAGAGACCAACCTGGCAATTCCCATCCCCTTCTATTTGCATTTCAAATAGACCATATGTCGCCAACCTGAATCAAAGATAAACATAGGATCAGAGTTGTCAAAAGGGAAAACTGTAGAAAAGCATCAACAAGTTGTCACCTTTTAAGTGCAAAGTGCAATTAAAGTGTGGGTTCAGCTATGTTTAAAGGTTCTAATGAAGGGACAGTATATATATAAATATGTTACACACACAGACTCACATATCTGTAGAGTGAAAAAAGAACTTATGAGCACAAAAGTGATAATCTGGACAAATAATTGAAATAGTATAATTGTGTGAAATATATGACGTAAAAAATCATGTCAATCAAGTTCATAAACTAATTTAGCGTGATTTTGATAGAAAGATACAGTTTTAAGCTTTTAGTGATTAGTTTTCTTATAGTATATTTCTAATTTCTATTTTCCTTTTGATAGGAAAGCACAAAAATGGCTCCATCCTAGCTTTGGTTTTACAGTTTTTTTTATCTTGCTACCAACTGCCTATTTTATTCATCTTTCCAGAAAGACCTTACAGATGAGTGGATGGAATTGTAATGTGAACCAACTCCCTTATCTACCCTGAAAGATAGTTGCAGCTATCTTTGTTACAAAGAACATGTTTTTACAATAGAAATAAAATAAGAAGACGTTGATCACGAGACAATTATTGTTAGAGCAGGATATTAAGTAATCCAGTAATTTATATCTATATAGAGGAAATGAAATAGAGTTAAGGATCAAAACTGATATGTGTTGGATTCACAAAAGTAAGTCAACCAAAGGCCTGAAGCTGAACAATTGTGGCATGATCAGTATAGTGATAAATAACCTGCTGGAGAGTCTTCCGTGGTCTAGCGTGGCATCATTTGGGTCAGGTATCTCCCCAATTACCCGTGGAGTGTGCTGCCAGGAAAGTAAGACTGTAAATAGAATGCAGAGATAGTACAGGGCAGGTTTCCATGGGATAAAGCTCATGAAGTAGTATACTGCAATGTAAACTAAGGACACATACACATATTCATTCAAATATACTTTTGCTAGAGTTTGCAGAAACGAAGAAACAAATGTAAATTTATATGCTTGTTCATAAAAAGGTAAAAAGTTTCCCAGGATTTGATATCTTCTATAGATCATAGCAGACAGTAGAAGTTATCAGGGACGAATGTATAGCTAAAATATGGGGCAGGTGAACCCGTGGTCTATCCATAAAACTAGGTATTTTATGTATGTCTTTTCTAAAATTGATACTATAATATTATCTGTTGTCACCCATGCTACAAGAAGGCTAAATGGTACACTTGGTCAGATTTAGGATCAATTTCCACTTAATAAATTTTTACCTTCCGCCCATGTTCTAAAAATCCTAGATTCGCATTCAGAAGTTACAAACAAATCTCTACATAAACCCTCTATATGGCAAGATAGTGACTCCATGATCATCAAATCAGAAAACCTCAGTGAAATTACTTGCTTTCTAGTACTAAAACAAAAATATAATCATACCGGTATTGAATCCAAATGAGAAAGTCTCTTCCCAAGCTTGCCACCATACTTTCTAGCATTTTCTTCTTCTTCAGCTAAAATAGTAGCAATGGCATGATCATCCTCAGTACCCTGCTGTGAATTGCTATTCAAACTAGATGCAGAACTCGAACTTGCTCTTGAATTCCCATAGTATTCATTCATATTATATCAAACAACTTCTAACAAACAGAAAAATTCCTATTAATAAACATCATCCAACCAAATAAACCCTTAAAAATAGAATCTTTAAAAGTTTGTAAGGTTCGAATCAGATAATTGTCAGCATATATACGCAAAATAAAAGACACCCATTACTTTACTCAATATACCCATATAAAAAAATCAAGAAAAGAACATTAAAAGATCCAAAATCAAGAAAAGAAAAGAGAGATACCTGTAAATGGAAGATAGCGAAAAGGGGAAAGATTTTTGTTTGGAGAATAAAAAGAAGAAGCAGTTGTTGAAATAAAAGAGTAAACGTCATATTGTTTGAAGAGATTGAATGTTTGGGTAAACAAACAACAGCCAAAGGGAAACGGAAGCGTGTGTGGGCTTAGCTATGGAAGCTTCTTTCTTTATCAAACTCTGACTTTTACTTGCACAAACCTGGCTACTAACGACCGCTTATAATTTAATTAGGCTTTATAGCTATAATTTGTTAATTATAATTCTTAGGAGAGGAGAGAGGCGAGTGAAAATGAGAGAGGGAGGAGAGAGGCGAGTGAGAGAGGGCAATAAGTTGTATAATTTGCGGGTACGTTTGTATAATTTGTGTGTATTTATATAATTGAATAATACAAATTTCGGAATTATACAAATATGATAAAACTCGATATAATAAATTTAGGCAAACATAAACATCTGAACTTTAAAAAGTTATAAAATTATATTATACAAATTATATTATACAAAATTCGAAAACTACATATTTATACAAACTTTAAAAAGTTATACAAAAAGATTGAATGTATCTGGTGATAAAATTGAAAAATCAAAGGAAATCACTATCATATACAAATACAAACCATCGTATACAAATATAAATCAAACAAAGAATTGTTAGTTGGAATTGGACAAACATGACGAATTATAACTAATTATACAAACTTGAACCCAACTCACGTAATTAGTAGTTAATGTTAATCACGAGTGGTAATTCATCCAAATTGTAGCTATGATGTCTAATTAAGTAGTATAAGTTTATTTTTTTTGTTATATCCAACGTAATTTTGAACAATATTTAGAAATTATTTCGAATAAATCTTTATGTGTCAAACCATCTATAATTTGATATATTATGTTAATTAAGTAGATGTTTGATCACATTTTTATTTTATTGTGAAATTTAAAAAAAGTATTTTTATTTTTGAAGTGCAAATAATACATTTGAAAATTGAAGTTATATTTGACCATAAATATAAATTGGAGTTATTTTTTTTTTTAATGAGTAATTTGAAGTAAAAAGAATATGAAGACATTTTTTTATTAATTTTTTTTAAAAAAATCAAGTTGAATTTTGAAATTTTACCTTTAAACATATTTTCAAAATTCAACTCAAAAAAAGAATAAAAAAAGTTTCATAATCAAATGCCATAATATAAGAAGTTGGTAATGAATGGTCATATTTGTTAGAATATGCACATCGAAAGCAGTATTCAAGATCACAATTTATATTACAACTAAACAACATAATGTGAACATTTATAGAACAACACTAACTTGTTGAAGCTTTTGTACTAATTGCTTAAAACACATAGATCCAGGACTCCAACCTTCTTACTACTTCCTGATTAATCAACACTTATATCGTCAAGTGAATATTTTGTTCTCTGAAAAGGTGTATCTTATCTAAAGGAAAACCAATCCTTTTTTATACATGATTTTCAATTGAAAAAAAATCAAAAAATTTGAGCAAATAGTCCTCCATTAAAACATAAACATTTCTATCTTCAAGGTCAAATTATGACTGAAAATATTTTTGTCTTTTAAGAGAAACGTTTCACCATTAAACCTTTTCTTCAATAGATAAAAATCCTTTTATATTTTTTTTAGAACACCAGTAAATAAAAAATACTTCTTCTTAATTTATCACACATTTTTTTCTTTATTAAAAATTAATTAATTAAATTAGGCATAATAAGGAGTAAGGACCACAAATTTATTGTTTAAGACTTTCAATTATGATATTGATTCGAAATTAGTGAATTACCATATCACAATAAGCTACAAGATATTCTATTAAAATCTTGCAATTGCACTCCTTGATTCAACTTCATAATTTAATATTACATTTATGTTTTCAATGTTTAAAAAAGAAATATAAGAGACGTATTTTATATATAAAAAATTGATTTAACTTAATTTTTAATGAAAAAATAATTTTATATATATAAGAGTCACCACTTAATTTTAAAGAAAAATCAAGAGAACTTTAAAATTTTCAAAAAATTTAAACAGAATAAAATCAATTGAAATAAGGGGGTTGGGGGTTCAAATTTACACTCCGAGAAGGGTTTAAGCATTCAAAATGTACGCTAACGCACGATTGACCTACGACTTGGCTAAGATTTGACTAACTTTGAAATATATTAAGTTATAAATAAATAAAATGATATTTCAAAATATTATTTGAAAAGAACAAGCTTGAAATAATTTTTCTGAGGAAATAATTATTTATATTGATAAATAACTAAGTAAACAAATAAACAAATAAAATCAAACATAAAAAGGAAAAAAGACCTTCTCTTGGAAATTTAATTAAATTAAATCAAATCAAAATAAAGGTTAGTTAATACAATAAACAAATAAAGATGAGAGAATACACTCAAATTTGGGCTTTGGGCCCAACCTGTCCTAAGCCTAAAAATTTGTCAAAATAATGGGCTTTGACCCATTTAAATCACAACGAGCTGCTGAACATATTTTTGGGCTTTTTGACCCATTTTTTCGCCTGGACCTGCTGGAATTACTTTGGGCTTGGGCCCATTTTTGCCTTTGAAAGCCTGTGTATACCACAGTATATAGGCTATATTTAGCCCTTTTTCCTGTACATCAGAATGTATACCAAGTATATACAGTCTAATCCAGCTTCTAAACACCTGTATTTCCTTATTTAGACTTGTATATCTGTATAGACACCTGTATACAACATGTATACAATCCATTTTGGACTTTTCGAGGCCTGTAATTTCAATTTCCTGCCTGTATTTGGTGCCTTCAACCTGTTCATCAGCTTCCTTTGCTTCACATAATAGTCTATTGGGAGTCAAATTTAAGTATGACTCGAGAGAGGAAAAGAATTGGGCCTTCAAAGCCCCCTTCAAAGATGCAAGGGGAAAAAAGAGCCCACAATGGACTCAAATGGAGTTTTTCTCATTCAAACGAAGTAAAGAAAAAAATGGGTTAATACATAATCCAACTTGAGATAAATACAACAAGAGTGAACTGATTAAAAAAAAAAGATCTAACTCAAGAGAGTATCAGTAAACAAATAATCCTACTAAAGTATTTTATGCAAAGATACATTGAGCACTAACAACTTTAAAGGAGTAATTCATAGGACAAACTACATAAATCCCACTGGATAGGTCCTAATTACTAAGATTTTTGATAGTTTCAAATATTACTTCATCTATCATATTTCGTACTTAGGATACATGAGTCTGAATTCGTGAGATACATGTATCTGACGAATTTTAAAATCGAGATACATATTTTATTTCTTTAAATTAATTGGTTGTAACTGATTTCCTTAATTAGATGAGTTATTGAGGCTTTTCAAAATACATGGACAATTAATTCTAAAAATTTTAATTGATTAAATTCCTTAATTTAAGGCAAAAATCAAGGATTATATCTATGTTCAATTAATTTCATTTTATTATATTATTAATAAAAGACAAAAACATGTATCTCTTTGTAATGTAATTTGATTAGTTTCATTTTATTACACTTAAAATAATAAATTCATTAAATTGATGTATCTATATTTTTATGTATATTTTTGTCATGTAATTTGATTAGTTTCATTTTATTACACTTAAAATAATAAATTCATTAATTTGATGTATCTATTATCAACATATAATGTATCCAACTAACTAAACACTTAGATACATGGGTATCATGCAAGTACATTCATATGTATCATAGAAGTATCTAGTATTAATTTCATGTATTTATTTATATGATCTAATATTAATTTTATGTATATGTTTATATGATCTAATATTAATTTCATGTATCTATTTTATATGATCTAATATTATTTCATGTATCTTTGTATGTATAATTTGATGTATCGAGTATCAATTTCATACATTATATCCAAAAACATGTATCTTAGATAAATATGAAAATAGTTAGATACATTGTAATAACACAACAAATATATACATGGGTGAATCTATGTGGACAGGTGGGGGTGCCACAACACCCAGTGATCTTGGAAAAAACTTTTTATATATATATATGTATAATAATTCAATATATATTAACTTTGCCACCAACTAATTGTAACGCTGAATAGTTCAATCGGCAAAGGAGAGAGCTTGCCACACACCTAACGTGGGTTTGAACCTCGCTGCTAGCACCTATTTTTGGCTTGCTCGTGAGGCTTTTATTCTTTTCTTTTCCTTTCTTTTTTGTCTTTTTCATTAATGTGTAAAGGCCTTTAATTTTGTTTTCTTCCATTCATGTTTATTTATTTACTATTCTTTATTAATTCAAATTGACTCCTTTTCATAATTAATTTTTAGTTTTTTTTTTACTTTCTCTTTCACTAATTATTAATCTCCTGATATGAGTGTTACTTGTTTATTCTTTATCAATTAATGAGTATTGAATTATGAACGTCAAATAAATATTATTAAGAATATATTTAAGTAGTAGTTTTTAAAAAAATTAAGTTTTAAAAATGATGAATATTATTATTAGAGTTTTTTTTTTTAATTTAAAGGTTCTTTCGATCTTCATCGACGTTTTTGCTAAGTAAGATGACTAGACTGAAATTACATTTTTATTCTTTCCCTACTATATATGTCCAAAAACACATAAATTCAATGAAATATGGATATATTAAGTTAATACTATTAGATGGTTTATACAAGCTCAAATTTTAATGTGAAATTTTTTTCCCTCAATGTTTCAGGGAATAATTATCTAATTCCAAAAAGGAAATAAAAATTGAATTATTTAGTTATCTCTAATCTCGGAATATCAAAAAGAAAATATTACTAACATGCATGTTTTATCGATTTGTTTATAAAAATCGAAAAAGATTAATAACCCGAATTTGTAATCCAAAATTAAAGTGACCGATTCTTTTATCTTGAACGATGTGGCACCCACGACCTCCGAATCCTAGATCCGTTTCTGAATATATATGATAATATTAAGATACATGATAGAAGACCATA